GCGTTTTTCTAGATTTATCTTCATGAGGAACGCTCAAATCCGAATATTTGAATCCAAGGATGTATAAGAACCGAAACGGTTGAAGTGCTATATGACAAAAATGACAATAAATTATAGCCAAAATCCACCTAAGGTCAACTTTGCCTGAGGGAGTTGAAACCTTAGTTTAAAAAAATAATCTACGAATTCAAAAAAGGACAATATAAAAACGTTTTGTTATAAATCATGTCAGTACTGATAGTCCACCAGAAGCAATATCTAACCAGTGCTGTAAAAAAGGAAATCAACACTTCATAGATCTGATGAGTCCGAAGCGCTTTTCTTGGATATAAAAATATATAAAAAAATCTCTTCTTTTCAGGCTTAAATGAGAGAAATATTAGATATAAATCGTGGCAAATCCTATTCCTCATTTTTTGTAAACTATTAGAACTCGACGTTGATACATGATATACATCGAACTCAAATAGAATCTTGATTAATCACGTCTTGAGTACATTGCCTGATAATTTATCGTTCATTTGTTATTATATAATTGGTTAACCAGGTTCTTTGATCTAGGAATTTGTACTAATTGAACATAATATGCAGTCACCTTTGAAATCATTTTTGAACACGATGATAAAGTAAACTGAAAATTGTTTTAAAAAAACCTTTTTCTTTTGTACAATATTTATATGCATTCTTGCTATCTTAATTAGCAACTAATGAAACTGAAGAATAACCTTATAAGAAATATATATCTTGGTTCCTTCTTGATTGACGTTTTAAAGCCTGTATAATTCGCTCATGAACTTTCAGTACTATATCAGTTTTTAGTTTATTGAAACAAGTAAAACGCCCACTGAAGACGGTACGCGCAGACGAATAACAAAATGATGTATTTGTTTCCCAAGTTAACAACCTTACATTAAAATAATACCAGGAAACACTGAAAAATGCATGTTTATTAAAAAAAGATGTGAAAACAATATTTAAACCAAAGTAATAAAAACATGACATAGAAGTTAAAAAAGAATCACAAGGGCAAAGTATGTATCACATTAAAATTTCTTGAAAACAAGTTTTATTTAAAGAAAAAACAATACGTAATGAATATTCAAAATTATTGTATCATTAAAATATTTCTTTTACATTCCCTCTGGTGAACCATTATCATAATTTTTTTCAATTAAAAGAAATTTCTGTTTAAAAGGAATAAAATTTACAATAAGATATGTTTTGTTACGAATACATGTATAAAAAAGATCATAGCCAAATGAAAAAAATATGAAAAGAACTCAGTTTAAAAAATTATAAAATATCCATATATAAAAACTTCTGAAAGGCCTTACAAACAATTAAAAGTCAAACATATGAGCAAATGTATCAATTATCCATTTTTTTACAATTCACCTCGCCTCAAATGAAAAGTGTGCACCTACCTACCTACATACCTACCGACATACATACATACATGATAAATTAATTCAGCTATATTTTGTTATTCGAAGCACTTGTATATAGAACATTTTAAAGTTTTATTTTGATTAACTAGCAATGGGTTGATATCACAGTTGGTGGACTGTTAATTTTCAAGGGTATCATCAGCTCAGTATTCAGTACTGACATGCGTTGAGAATTTCAGAAACTACATATAAATTAAGGTTCGAATTCGAAATCTAATAAAGTTTGAAAACATCACTTGTAATAATAAAAGAAAATGTCGTTTTACGTTTAAATTATTTACAAAATATAGAACCAGACATCAAAATGATGTGGTACACTTATTAGATATGATATGTGATATCCAAGTCAAGTGTGTACTTTTAGTTAAGTATCGATTTATTCAATCATAAAAGAAATTTTGATTATGTCTACCAACTTATTTACATTAACAATGTTTATCAAAACAGAGCAATGTACATAAACTAATCAATTAAACTAATTTACCGTGTTGTAGATAGGTATCACTGTTTAAAGATGTGGAGTTATCAAATCAATGTGTTATGTTAGGTGTGTTTGACTTCTGTGTTAATTTAAAATACATAACTTGTTTAATAAAGCTACACTATGTAATTTTATAAGTAAGGTGGACATTTATCTCACCTGTTCTCCATGGACATGAGTGAGAAGGTAACCCTAAGTATGCTATCCTGGGCTACTAAGGTAATTGTGACAGGATATTGGAAATAAATTATTTGAATTTAAAAAAAGGTTCAAATTCTTTAAGGCAAAACTGACCTGAAACGAACTCTGACATACTTTTTTGTCCCTTTTGACCATATAGCGCCTAACGTATTGAGATATTATACATCTTTGGCTGTCAAATATTTAGGTTTTAACGTTCTGGATATAGGCAAATCCAGAATAGCGCTGCGGACGCACGAAATTTATAAAGTGTTATTTGAAACTAACCACTAATTTGTACTAATCTAAAACGCTGTTAACAAATTTATGAATTTCCAAAGCAACGATACATTATACAAGTCGGGAACACTACCTTATACGGATATGCATAATTTAGCATACTAATGTTCCTGAAATTATAATAATTTGTTTACATAATACTCAAATCTTTTTACCTCCGCTGGTGGAATATCAGTCCCCGAGGGTATCATTAGCTCAGTAGTCAGTACTTCGGTATTAACATGATTTATAACAAGCCTTTCTAAAATTGTCCGTTTAAAAATTTAGAAATTATAAAGAAAGTTAGGTTTCAAATCCCTCAGGCAAAGTTGGCCTTAGATGGATTTGGCTAGTTTTTAGGGCTTTTTTAGTTATATAATTCATGTCGGTACTGACATGATTTATAACAAACCTTTCTAAAATTGGCCGTTTAAAAATTTTGAAATTATAAAGAAATTAAGGTTTCAACTCCCTCAGGTAAAGCTGGCCTCAGATGAATTTGGCTATTTTTTAAGTCTTTTTTTAGTTATATAGCTCTTCAACGCTTTCGGTTTTATTCATCCTTTACTTTCAAATATTCGGCTTTGGGCGTTCCTGATGAAGGTAAATCCAGAAAAGCGCTTCGGACGCATGAAATGTATAACGTGTTGTTTTCATTTGTTTTCATTTTTTGCAATGCATGATGGATTACTAAGTGCTTACAATTCTCGGAAAACACGTGTTTTTTACTGACATACAACGCAATTTTTCACCGATTGCCGGAACAAACATTTCATCAATTTTTTTATTTGATTTCATTTAAAGACCATGATATAAAGTATTAGTTTTATGCTCAGATTGACAAATAATTGTTTCTGTTCTAATTATATAAGGAAATAATGTTCGAAATACGAGACAAAAACCAAATGACACAAAAACTAAAAACATAATAAGTTGGACTTGCATTCAGATTTCCAAAAACAAGAGGCTCCTGAACTTTTCAGTTATCTCGTAAAATAGAGGAAGCCAGTATCTAATATTCGTAAAATGCGCTAAACAAATTTATTTTGGCTTAGAATATATTGTATGATATAAAGCCTACTTCTATCATTACAAAGGTCAATAAAACTCTATAAAGGGGGCTTCATAAAAAACAAAACATCCGAGATAATCCGAAAATATTATCTGGTGTTACAACATACAATGAATAAACTAATCATAGATACCAGGAATAAAATTTTTAACGCCAGATGCGCGTTTCGTATACTAAAGACTCTTCAGTGACAATCGCATCAAAAAGGCCAAATAAAGTACGAAGTTGAAGAACATTGAGGACCCAAAATTCCCACAGATTTTGCCAAATACAGCTAAGGTTATCTATTCCTTGGGTAGAACATCCTTAGAATTCAAATTCAAAGTTTTATAAATAAGACCATATCATTGCACTATCATTGTAACTGATACTTTTTGTCTCAGTAAGTCTTTAATTAGTTAATGAGAATAATATTCAATTCCTTTATCCTAAATTATTGGGTTTTTTTTCTACTTCTTGGTTCACAACATATTTTTCCTTTTTTTCCTTTTGTGCGTAGGGATTTTCCCTAACTACATACACGTATACTAGTGTATGATGTAATTTTTAAATGTTTTCAAATTGAAATTGAAAGAGTTGTGGTATATATGTCAACAAGGCAGCAACTAAACGAAAAAAAATAATCAAACGACGACTAGAGGGCAGCATTCAGTCTTTAACAATTTACAGGTAGTATAGTCTATATAACAAATTATTGATGATATATAAACAATGTATTGTCTTGAACCTCATGATGCTTTGTAGCCAGTATTGCTTTATATCAAGAAGAATTTCTTTGCCTTATTCTCTGTGCAATATGAAAGAGCATAGTTTTTGGAAAGACATAAGCTTTAAAGCATACAGAATACGAAAATTTGTTAAGCAAAAAGAATCATGTAACTTAGTACTTTAAATTAGTTTTAAAGAACTCAATGGAATTTACTGTTCAACGTATACTTCGTTATCAATTTTACGTGGAATGAATGCACAGGTACAGTGCATAACAATAGAGAAAAAACGTGTTCCTTTTTACTTTGACAAGTCGAAATGAAAATTCGAATTCTGAAGCTTGTAAACAATACTTTTTAAAATATCTGAACATGCAAATTAAAGATTATACTATATACATTACATCTATATACATTACGTGTATAACAGTAGAGGAACAAAAAATTCAAATATAAGATTCTGAGAAACAATACAAAATGACACTTTTTAACCAATTCCACGTGTCATTAAGTGATAGTACACTCGTAGTAGCCTACAATTCATTGTGGGTCATTGAGTCGATTGGCCAATTTCACAGGGGCATGTTTACATTTTGTATTTGGGAAATTACCATTCAAATGTATTCTGACGTCAGAAATGTAGTGTTCCTGAACTGTTAAATACGAAAAGGTATCAAATTATAATTGTATATTAGAACTTCAACGCGTTTCCTAGAAGAAAGATACCAGACGACAAAATATCGATACCTTATAAATAGATATACTGCTTTTGCAACACTTTCAATGAAGACTTTGCAGTAAGACGATATAACATAAGGGCAAATACAACTTACGATTTTTATTTCGTCTGTACAGAATAAACCATTAAACCCTTCATGGCAAAAACATTGTACGTCAGCAAGTCCTTTTTTAATGCAGTGACCATGGTTGCACAAATTGGTGACACATATTTGACCATTTATACATCTAGAATTTCACAAATATTTTAAATGATATATTATATATTGTGAAGATATATGTGGTACTTTGTACATTATAAAGATCGCTTTTCCCTCCAAAAGGTAGTGTGATAAGTAAATTTCAGATGTTCCCTCTAAATTGTATTGTGATTATTCAGGATGTGATATATTTCTTTTGATTTAAATAAATTTGAGAAAATTGGGTAAAAGGTTGAATTTTCCGTTCGTCACATTTTATATCATTGAACTCAACTGATAACAAATACTTATGATACTTAAGGGTACATTGTCGATCCTTGTATAATTTTAAAACAATAATTGTCGGAGTTGAACAAATGTATAACTACTATACGCTTTTGAGTTTTGCTCATTTTTGAAGACCGCATGTTCAACCTGTAGCTGTTTACAACATTGTCCCTTGTTTTTGTTTGCAGACAGTTTTCTTATTGACAATCATACGACATCTCAATATTGTTATATTGTAACTAGCAATTTCAGAAATCACTTATTTTCCTAATTTTTACTTTAAATGAAATCACGCAATTACAACACACGTGTGTCAGGAATAACCTTCATTAGAAAAATCTCGACACGAAAAGTTACAAACAATCTGGACTTGTAGTCTCCGAGGTAAATTTCTTTTTAACAAAAGTCAAAAGCACTACGGTTAAATAAGCCAAGTTGCGATCTTTCTGGATTTATAGTAGAAGAAACTGATTTTTTTGTTGTTTTCCTTTGCTGAGGATGACTGAAAAGGTGACAATAAATGATTTTATCAGAAACAAAACAATTGTCCAAATTAAGTCTATCAATTATTGCTGTTGTAATCTTGCTATTTTGACGAGGTGATCCTCAAATATACAGGGGTCCTTTTCATACAATAGCGCAGTATCCAGCAAAAATTAGTACAGATGTTAACTGGTTTTTTTTTATTTTATTTGTTCAATTTGTAAAGCTGTTAGCGAGAATTCATGGGCTATATAATAGATTTATTTCTAGTAATTGTGTTATACCCTTTATTGCATTATTATCTTCTTTTCTGTATACTTTATGCCAGACAAACATGTGGCAGCAGGATTTTATGACAAAGAAGAAAGTCTGTATTTATTTCACAAACAGGCTATTTTTATAGATTTTGAATCTTTTCAAAGGTTCGAATCCTCAATTGTGTACCTTAAGAATGCATGGAGTTTCCAAGTAAAAGATATACCGAGTAAGGTGTATCTCTGTAGATTTCCTCTGATTACTATCTATCAAACGAACAGAAATCATACCACTTGTTGGTTTGGTATAGAAAATCATTACACTGAGAATATTCAAGCCATATGAAATAGTTGTGTAACGATAAACAATTATTTTCCATCAAGTCCTATAAAGAAACTAGAATTACGGACTAAATAAGATTTTCTGTTAATCTGAAAAATTAGATAACGATATGTACTCTAACCTCTACAGTCATTTTATTATATTTTGTCTTCTATGCTCCTGAAACATTCACTTAAGTAATAAAAGATTGTAAAGATTTTCTTTAATTTTGTGTATAGTCTGATAAAAAAGCAATTTATCTTAAATTACCTGTAGTTCTGTCCATCTTTGATACAAACACTGTTGTTTTGACATCTTGGATAACACACTTAAAAACAAAATTCAAATAGATGGAATATAAGAGATGACTATACCAGTCAGAAAATGTTGCAACTAGATTTTCGATTAATTGTTAATGTATTTAAGTATTATGTATGCTTTGGGAACTAGCACAGGTAATTCGCTCCTTTGATTCACACGGAAACCACTTCTAGAAAAATTGATCCTGATAATACAACATACTTGTTAAAGGTTTGTTTTGTATGCTAAAAAAGCAAATTCAAGGTAAAAAATCAGGATTTATAAGATACATCAAATACCTAGTTTCCCCCCATATACCATAAAACGAAAAGACATGATAAAATTGCTTTTCGATGGTGTTGATAAATAATTTTGCAAGTACCACTAATCATTCCTGTGTAGACAAAATGCGAATGTGGCGTATTAAATAGTTGTCGGAAATTGGCTAGACTTTAGGTCTTTTTTATCTGTTCTGCAACGTCTGTAATATGGTTTAGATTTTCAATTATTTTAGCCTCTAGAATCACTGAAGAGAGACATTTAGTGTCGAAATGCACATGTGGTGCCGTGAAGTAATGACTATGCAACAAAGTTCAAATGAAGTGGATGTAAGCAATAAAAAAAATAAACCTGCTATTTTGGTGTTTTTACAACCACTGTGTCGGTGCCACTGCTGGTGGATGTTTTGCACCCGACTGTATCACCAGCCCAGAAGTCAGAACTCCTCTACTGACTTGAAATTTCATTGATGCCATTAATATATATTTCTGTAAAATTCATTGGCGCAACTTTTGAAATTTTTGGTTTTCAGTTCTATTCAATTTACCAATTGATTTGATTTGCAACTGTTTTGTTCGAATGCCAATGACGAATCTTATGTAGATTAAAATGAGCGGCGTCTAAGTTATATGCCATTTATCTTTGATGAGTTTATTCATTATTAACAACTTGTCTTGATTAGGAACGACTAAGAGTTTTGCATATAATGTAGACGTATAAATATTGTTAAAGACAACATGTAAGCCTTCTGTATAAAAATCAGGAGATGTCGAATAACGGTAATGAGATATCTATCCACCAGAGTATAAATGACGAAGGTATAAGCAATCAATTAAAGGTCACCGTACGGGCTTTATCGATGAGAAATCCCTATACCATGTAGCCAGCTGTAAAAGGCCCCGACATGAAAAATGTGAAACAATTCAAAAGATAAACTAACGGCATAATTTATACAATACAATTTAGGAAAAAAAATATGACCGACGTGTACTAACGACACCCACTGAATTACAAGCCGCTGACCTGGGACAAGCACATATAGAATATGGCGGGGTTAAACTTGCTTATGAGCACTTTATCCTACCCTAACCTAGGACAGTGGTGTATCAGCACAACTTCAGAACAAATGTTTATATAGATCTATTCAAACAATATTTGATTTAATCAAGGTGTTTTGATTAGGATATATTTTGACTGAAGCTTAAAAAAAGCAAGTTTTATTAAAATGCCATAAAACCATTGACCTCAATTTTGCTTTTATCAAGAAATAGAGAATGACCTAGGTAAACTTTTCAAACAATAATGGTTATTTTCTCTCCATGACTTTTGTCTTATTCACGAAAGCACTAAAAAGATAAGGGAATAAAAATCGTGCTAGCTACAATAAAAGTCCAGTAACCTTCATTTCTGAAATGAAATTTGAGTGCACCTTTAACTCTCCATTAGAAAAAAATTCTAATTTTCATTTTATTGTCTATCGTAACTTTATCTGAATTGAAACCTTTACCTTGACGTGGAATGACAGTGTAATTTGCTGAGAATCCTGTCCATGTGATTAAATTGTCTGTTGTAAACTTAATTTTCAGGAAGCCATCCCTTGAAAAGTACAACTTATCTGATGCTGATTGTGCACATAGTGTAATTTCTGGGGAATCTAAAAAAATATGATAAAATTAACAATTTGTATTTGAAGCAACACAATGTCTTACATTTATTTCATAATTTTGGAGAAAAAAATGAACTTATTGCTTATACACTATGTCGATAAACAAAAGTTTAAAATGTTTATGCAATAAATTAACGTTGTTGCTGTGATTTAGAATATTTTAGTATTTTTTCGCAGAAGAGTTATATAGAATATTGAATAGCTTTAGAAAAAGAGTTTTCTGAATCTTTAGAAATTCAGCCTAGAAAAAGTAATCAACTGTTTGAATCAATCATATATGAAAGACAGTGAAGATAAAAATGGAAATATTAACAGAACTTTAATCAACTAATTGAACTTGAACTATAGACTTTGTGTTCTGTATTGTCCTTCGGAATATTTTACAAACTGAGATAGTTTTGAACTTCACAGTTCACGACTCAGGATTTTGATAAAGGAAATTCATGTGACATTTTCACTAGATTTTCAATTGATCATCCCATGTTTGTGTTGCTCAGTCTTTAATTTTCTATGTTGTGTTTGTGTACTGTTGCTTGCCTGTCGGTCTCTTTCTATTTTAGCCATGGCGTTGTCAGTTAATTTTCGGATTATGATTTAGAATGTGCCTTTGGTATTTTTCGTTTCTCTTTTTCTCTGTTTACATATGAATAAAAAGAGGTGCAAAGTACACGTTCATTAGAGAGTAACCCGACCACACACAAATTAACTAACTGACATCTACATAATACGGGTCTAAAAACATTAAAACTGAGCTTTAAGTCCTTTGTCGTAGTTTAATATGTTTTTGGTCAAAAATGTGTTGATGTCTGATCTTTGATAGTCTCTGTTAAATTCAAAACAGACTTGGGCTTTTTGGAGCTCGACATGTTGTATATATACTGCCAGATTTTGATTGGTTAATACGAGGGAGACAATTTACTCTATCCCATGGCAAATACAATATTACCCTTCACGGAGACGCTTGCTCAAGTGTGCGCTTTAATAAATACGGATGATTGTTATGTACAAGACGACATAGTTTATTACTTTGAATTTGAAATTTAATAAACAATAATAACAGTACATTCAGTATAATAAATTAAATAACACATATCTGAGAGGGCAATAGAGCAGATTGTTTCCCCTCGAAAAGACATTGTCAACCTTGGCTTCGCCTCAGTTGACAATGTTTTCTCCGGGTAACAATCTGCTCTATCACCCTCACAGCTATATGTTATTTATATACTGTCTACTGTTAAAATGAATATGTTGACCACTTGACGTCTTTTGGCCTTTTTGTGTCGTTATTTCCTGTCTTATTGACGTATATCCCACATCTCCTTTCATAGATATCAAATACTTTACAATGTTAAAATAGTTACCATTAATATCGAAATACACAGTAAAAAGCAAATTATTCAATTAAATTAATAACATCTGACTTTGACATTGAGATCCAAAGATCATGAAAATGTGAAATATTACAGGAAGCAAGCTTACTACTTTTTAAATGTCTTATTTTAGGTATCAAAACATAAATACAATGACGGTTCGTTCTGTTTTCAGTTAGTTTCTGCATTCAATATGTATCTTCGGTCAACATTACCAAATTAATAATAACCCAATGACAATTGTAACGACTGCGTTTTTAAAAGGTCTTGCTTGACCCGAACAAAATGGGTTTACATGTAGGCACGTGGTCTAACCAAACGCATACTGTCAGACCATATTAGTATAAACATAGAAAGCACACAAACGTGTCAATATAGTGTCTACATAAATATGACGCTTTGTGGTATCGACAAATTTATGGAAAAAAGAAGTGAAATATTATACTTTACCCAGAAACCAATATAAGATAAGATAAGTTTAATTTTACTTCTACATTTACATTTAGTTGAATGTTCAACTTTGTAAAGATCTCAATGCCTTTGTAATCGACTGTATAAACATGAAAATATGAAAGTTTCACAGTGCAATTTCATTTATTTGGTTTACTTGGTTTTTTATAATTCTTGTCGTTGTTATGTAATTTGAAAATCGTAGGAATGGAGAAGAGATTTGTTTTGCTATAACTTTCTCATCAATCAAATATTTTATCCTTTGAACATAAGGAAGTGTAAACTAATGTCATCTTTACAAATGTGTCTGTGTAGCGTTTGTTCTCATTTAATATCACTTGAACTTCAAATTTGTAATCTAGAAGAAATGCTATTAAACATACAAATATGCTAAAATGCATCTCTCTTTCGACATTGACAATTGCTCTTTCGTATGAGTGCTTGCACATCTAAGTTTGCATCAATTTATATTTTGATAAATTGTTAAGAATTTTACAATATATCTATATTTGACGTTGATCCTGTCATCTTCCAAATGAAGATTGAAGAATTGCATGTCGACACGAATAAACCAACTTTGATGAATAAATCATAATTCAAAAACTATGTTGTCGGTGTCTTCGGAAATACTGCTAATTATGTTTACCCTAACTTGATACTATGAACAATATTGTTTATCAAAACTGGCATGGAACATAATACTTATCCATAAAAAAAACATTAAAAAAAAAAACAAACAACTACACACATTTCTTTTGATAATTTTGAACAAATCGCTAATACATTAAGACGACTTTATGGATCAATGTTGCAAATAAAAAAAAATAATTCCTTTTCTATCACACTGTCCCGATGCAAATCAAAGTGCAAATCACGATGTTATTTCCCTTTCCTTTTTTGCGATAATTGCATGCATGAAACTTTTAAATAATTTCTTGATCTCCATTATGTAATTTAAGTATTACTGCTAAACTACAGTCCTTCAAATTTTCTCAATTTTATGAGTATGGGCGTTTTTTGACAATTGCGTCTATGTTTTGACAGGATCATTGTTTGTGTTTTCTGCAAAGCAATATGTCTAGAAACATCATATTTTGTCTCCAAAATTATAACTGTCCTGAATTGTCCAGATATGCAGTTAAAGGGGAATTAGCTATGATTTCGACAAAAAAATGAAATATGATTTTGACATCCTTTCAATCTCACATGTATCAACTACCTCACAAAAATACTGAACTCCGAGGAAAATTCAAAAAGGAAAGTCCCTAATCAAATGGCAAAATCAATAGCTAAAACACATCAAACGAATGGATAACAACTGTCATATTCCTGACTTGGTACATATTACTGTTTTACTACAGAAATAAATCATACCCGAAAAAGAGTCGAGGAAAAGTGAAATTCTATCAAATGAGCAGTTGTCTGATTCTTCAATCTCCATGTGCGTAAACTGTATCATAATTTGATGGTCTGGCAGAGGAGCTATGATTGTTGTAGAGCAGTTCACGTTGTTATCATAAACAGCTGGGTATCCTGGACTTGTTATAGTTCCCCTCATAGAACCTTCGACTTTAATTCCACAATCTAAAACACGCATATATAAAACAATTTTTTAGTGACTTCCAAAAGTGTGATTTTTCATACCATGGAATTCATAAAGAACCTTCTCAAAGACAAAACAAAATAAGCATCTCGCAAAGATCTTTGATTTCATTGTCATATGTATTGATTATGTCCTGTCACTCAATAACCCATATTTCAGTGAGTTCTTGCATATCATATATCCCAGTGAACTTGGGATTAAGGAAACTATCAAAACTTGAAGGTCTGCTTCATATCTTGATATTTTTTTCGATATTGACAGATATGGACGACTTCAAACTGAACATATGGTGATTTTAACTTTCCAATTGTCTACTTCCCATTTAAGAGCTGTAACATACAATCTGCTTCCTCGAATGTCAAGTATAGTTCAATTAAAACGTTTCGCTACATATAATCTATAACTTTACCTATTATGACATTTTGACTAAATGTGGATTTGCATTGCACATGGTGCACGCATAGCATGAGACACTTATCCTGTAGAAGCATCCAGTTTCACAGTTTGTAATATGCACCTCGGTTTTAATTCTTTATTCATGAGGTTTTAACATCGATAAACTATTGTTACCTCAATGTAACCCTTTTTGCTAATGTACATGAATTTGGTTAATACCTTAACTGTCATGGAAATTAGATGACGTTATTTCATATCATATAAATATGTCCAAAACTAACAACAGACTAGAATAGAGAACGTTTAAAGCTTTTTGAGAAAAAATGACAGAAGTAATCTATGGAACTATTTGATGAATTCATACAAACAGTATTAATAACATAAACGGTACCAACTTTTCTGCACAAGATGCGCATTTCGGCAATCAATGTCTCTTCAGTGATGCTCAAGGTCAAAATATTTGAAAATCCAAAGCTTATTCAAAAGATGAAGAGCTATAAGCCAAAAAGGACAAAAAAAAAGTATAGCCAAAGCCGGGCAGGGAAGATTATTAAGACTTCAGGTATACAATACAGTGGCACCAAAAAAAGGTAATATCATGTCATTTACAACCACTCGGTCGATGCCACTGCTGATGGAGTTTTTCTCCCCGAGGGAATCACCAGCCCAGCAGTCACCTCTGTGTTGACATGAATTATCATTGAAATGGGCATACTTATAAATTAACTGTGTACAAAAACTCTGATTTTCGAAATACTAAGGAATTTTTACCCCAGGAATAGATAACCTTAGCTGTATTTGGCAAAACTTTTAAAAATTTTGGGTCCTCAGTGCTCTTCAACTTTGTACTTTGTTTGGCCTTGTTAACCTGTTGATTCAAGAGTCACTGATAAGTCTTTTTTAGACGAAACCCGCGTTTGGCGTACAAAATTTCAGTCTTGGAATCTATGATGAGTTTAATTAATTATTCACTTGATACAATATAGTTCTTGGGCTATTTGTAGGATTACTGTGATTACCAGCACTTCTGGTAGTGTTTTGGGGCAGTTCATTTTTTGATAATTGTGTTCACTAAATACTTTCATAACCAATACGATCATCATGATGTCCTGAATTATAAAACATATAAACATTATTCCAAAATGTTGGCCCTTGGCAAAACACGAAAATAATTGGATAATCAGGATTAAAACTTTTTTTCGGAGTTTGTTTTACACTGTAATAATAACACATTATAAACATTACAAGGAAAAAGTAGTATTGCATTTTCCCAGCTTTAGGTTGGCCTTTCGTGTACCAAAGGCAGGTGAAGAAAGTCAACTTAGGAGCACTGTTATTCGATGTAAGGGTATAATATATATTTTAATTTATTTATAAATAACTGCAGTATGTATATTTACAATATAAATTTTGAAACACATTGAAAAAATCTTTTGAGAATTATTCGAAAAGGCTTCCAAATTTTCGTAAATTTGATGTAAAATGACGATGGGAAATGATACCACTAACAAGCTCTGTTCGAAGATGGTTATGATAAGATTTGAATTCAATTTCCAAAAACAGAATAATAAAGTAATAATATCACACGAAATTGTATTGTTCAGGTCTTTATTATAAAAAGTTGTAAATTAAGAAAATGTTAGTATTATCGCCTATGGAAGAATAAATACCACCGTTTCCTACACACTCTCTCTTTCATACATGGGTTTTTCTAAAGTGATGTAATTCCTAATTTTAACTGCTAAAATAGGTCAAATATTTGAAGGGTAATTAACTTTAACCATTAATAAAAAAAATTCCAGACAACAAAAGAGTAAATTATAAATATTTTTAATAAATTCAGGACGTTTAAAGATGTAGTCGATAAGCAATACCAGGATATGCAATACTAAATATAGACCATATCGTCAAAGCCTTAAGAAATATACATTATCGATGAAAGGTTCAAGGAAAAATATGTATCATGTTGAAAGGGAATATTAAGTTACATAAACCGGTATATAATGAGTTTTAAGTTTCACATTGACATACCGCTTCGGTTTCACTTCTGGTCTTACTTGAAGCTGAAGGACTACTTACTTTGATTCAATTTTTTTTCCAAAACCTGTTCGTTGTGCTCCTGGACTTCTGTTTTGAAATTTATTTCAGCAAGAAATCCTCTGTTTTCTAACATGTAGTCCGAAATAAATACTACCAACATACTATTACCACTCGATATAATAGCATGTGATGCGGTACCACAGAATGTCCCAAGTCTTTTGGAATCTTTGTTAAAAAATATATAATTAGTATTTATGAATCAAATAATTCAGACAACATCCATGATTTCTATATTAATACATTGTAAATAGGTTATAAGTACTTTGAACGTGTTAGATATAACTACAAGCATTGTACTTGGAAGAATTTTCCCAAAATATTTAGTAAACATTGATAAGAATAATTATACTTAAACTTAAATTTTTGTTCATTATACACTTCCTAATCTTTTTATCTTGGTTTTCGTTTCTTTGAAATACCAATCTTATATACTTAAGTTTCCAGACTGATTTATCTTGTAAATTCTTTCAAATACCTTTGTTTTTTTTAATTGGTCCAGAAAAAGGGGATATATAGGTTACAATAGAATAGAAAACAGTTTTTAACCCTTTCACAATTAAAATGTGTCCCAAGTCAAGAACCGTGTCCTTATCCGTCATTGTTTACATTAGTGTTTCTGTTCTTTAAATAATTTGGTGTTGATGTTAAATCGCGTTTTAATTATTTAAAAGTAAAATAACAAAAATACCGAACTCCAAGGAAAATTCAAAACGAAAAGTCCCTTAACAAACGGCAAAATCAAAAGCGCAAACACATCAAACGAATGGAACACAACTGTCATATTCCTGACTTGATACAGGCATTTCCTTATGTAGAAAATAGTGGATGAAACTTGGTTTTATAGCTAGCTAAGCCTCTCAAAAGTATGACATAAAATTTAAAACATGTTTTACTCGGCACAATCAAATTCTTTCACCTATCTATCTATTTATTTGAAGTCAAATCTATAACAGATTTTTGTCTAGAACAGTTATGATAAATATATACATAGGAACTATTCTGCGTAGAAGAATGCTTTCATATTATAGGTTCTAAAAAAAGTATCAAGTGCTTTCATTGTTTTAAATATTCGTATTATTTGTTTTTATTTTCAACTTCTCCATTCATATATTCGGCTATTTCTGCAATTGATATCCTGTAGATTGCTTTTTTTATTGGTTAATACGTACGACTGGTAGTTCTGTCGAATACTTCAAGTCGATCAAACATGCAACTATCATCGGAAATTGACATCTTTAAAATGTTCAGCTTTACACGTTGGTGCTCAGGAGCCTAATAAAATATAACAAATGATAAAATAAATCAGCAGACTGTAGAAAACAGCAAAATAATCGTTCAATTTTCGTGTTGCTCAGTCTTAAGTTTTTATGTTGTGTTTTGTATACTGTTATTTGTATTTCGGTCTTTTTCTTATTTTTCCATGGCGTTGTCAGTTTATTTTCGACTTATGATTTGAATTTCCCTTTGGTATCTTTCGCCTCACTTTTATAAACTATCTGTAAATACTGTTAGGTTCGAGATGGAACTGGATAGAACTTCTACAAATGACCCTAATAGCTCGATATTTTTTTTCCCTTGAAAATCGCAAAAATTATGAAATAAAATTTATAAGATACCATTTTGCGGGGAAAATTTCATTGACATATATTGATTTACAAAAAAGATAAGAAGAAACCATAGAGATAATCTGACTTCAAAAGTTAAAAAAAACTCAGTCGGACTAAATGCTTAATTTAAATTCACAACAGATGTCTTATCAGCAGCTTTTGGAAAAGTGTTAAATTGGAGAATTAAGAAAAACATATGTCCGCAATTGCTCAAATGAAAAACAAATATATATATATACCAAGGTCCGTATGATCCTTTCATTTTCTTTGTTTGTTCATTTTTATATCAAAGAACATTATAATATGTTTTTCGCACTTGAGTGCACATTTCTATAAAGCATATTGCCTATTTGGAATTTTTAATGTGTTGATTTTGTAATGATTTGTACGCTTATTTTTGGATCTTGCTGTTTTTGTCCCCTCTGCTTCAGTAATTATACTTTTGATTAACTATGCAATTAGGTGAAAAAATTATTATTTAATGTTTCAGTGTTAGCCCACTCAAATTGTAATAAGCTTCCTCTCTTGCTCTTTATGTAATCGATAGGATTTATAAAACCTAATTTGTCCAGGAGAACGTTTGGTTTTAAATTTGCTTCAAAATTCAAAATTGCTGAAGCTAAGTACATAATTGCTTTGAAGATCAAACGACATCCTAATCTTGCGTGTTTTGTATGCTATAGTATTTTAATTCACTGAATTAAATGAAGATTCTCGAAGCCTTCCAGTGCATATTAGAGTTTGTTTCACTTCTTCAATTTAATAAAGCAGACATTAATTTGATATATCCAAAAACTGTGACAAATAACCTTGATAACAATCAGAGACATGAACAAGGTTATAGATATTCGCAAATTACATTTAAAAATAATTTAGAAATTGATAAAAGGGTTTATATAAGTCCATTTCTAAGATAAGAAATACACTTCAGGTACATGTAAAACGTTTCTTGTTCGTGCTTACCGACAAAACAGCCACTATTTATAACTTTTCGCGTTTCGCAGCGTAGAGAAAAAGTACGTTACTAACGTTTTCATCTGCATAATCATATGATTATTCGCATGTATACTTGGTATTTAAGAAAGTGCTGGACTATCTCGCGTTTTAATCACCCTCTATCCAGTAATGATAGTCAAGGTTCTTTACGATTTTTATACATATCATTTCGCTTGAGCTTTTTGTTTTCAGGAATTCTATATATGTATTCGTTTTCGTATTTTTTTACAGTTTAAATTTCGTTAATGAACTATATTTTCTTTACTTATTGCAATGAGACACAGACTATATGGTTAATTTATATTTATTTTTTTCCCCTCAAAATATTTTTTTTCTCTCCAAAAGTTTACTGTAGAAAAAATGACTTCGGAGACGGTCTTGGTCTTTTGATCATTGGGTTTTGTAAGTTTTTACCAACTTTTTGACAACATTTTAAAAAACAGTTAACGTGATTGCCTGAATGAAGTTTGAACTGAGTTTATCTCGTTTTTATTGGTGTTACCTGGCCGGCGAGTTATTACAAAATAGGCATTGCTTAACGAAATAAACGCGTGCTACTGTCCAAGTTTGGGTCTGCAAGTTCCATGTTTTCTATATGAACTGCACATCCGGTCGAATTTGGTGGATATTTGTTTCATTGGCAATTTAAACACATCTTTTTATTGTTCTATATAAAGAGCTTGACCAAAACGTATACGGGTAGTGATAAACAAGCATTAATAAACTAGATAAAAATGTGCAACTGCTAACCATGCCACCACCCTCGTTAATTTTACATTAACAGACAAGTTTAATGAAAGAAACACATTGAAAGTACATATACAGCGAATCGACACAAAATAATTAGATAATCGAAAAAAAGTTTATATTATTTTAGATAAGTTTTTATACATTGAACTGTGATTTAAATTACAAAGTAAATCCTTTGCTTCATGTCAACACTTTTGCATTATACTACCAATCTCCATGATCAATCGAAAGATCGAATACATCGTCACATTAAGCAAAGCTCTTTCAGCAAAAATTGGAAATCATGGATAAAAATGTATTGCTTTAAGTCATAAAAATCTTACTTTATGAAGAACAACACTAATTCCGAAAACAAATACACCGAAGATGATATTATAAAATGCGGGACTTTCTGATCGTTAACATATTTGTTGAGTTTGGTGGATTGATATAGCAACAATCAGTTGGTATTCCAATGGGTACTTGTTGTGCTCTCCTACTGGCTGAAATGCTTTTGTTCTCATATGAACTAAAATTCATTCAAACCTTTTCAAAGAATTTAAGAAAAAAAATCTGGAAAAGTTTTATTTAAATATTATTTTTACAAGTATTATTGATATCTGGTCACTAAATAATCCACGTTTCAGTGAGTGCATGTATTTCACCCCAGCATTTGAGATTAAAGATACAGAAAAATGAAAGTATGCTTCATATCTTGATCTCGATATACCAGGTCTTGCTTGTTTAGGGGTTCATGCAAATACGTCAGTTTTTGGTTTTTATACAATGATTTTCTACTTAATCGATTTCTGAGTACAGATACCTACATTTGTATTATCTTCAACCGTATGTTTATCGTAGGAGTTAGGCGTTAACCAAGTGACTACTTCAGCATTCAAACCAATTAACCACGATATTAGTATGATATTCAAGTTTATTTAAATAGTTTGTTGGTCTAAGTGTTCCAGCATTCGTGGAATACATGTTAAGGATGCTCATTCTCATTAGTTAAGGGTTACATTTTAGTGCAATTCATTTTCCGAATTGACGACGGGTTCCGGTTGTGAAATGTTCGGGTTGTGGAATGTTCGGTATTTCTCACGTCCGATATATGAAATATGGTCGAGGGAATATATAAGTACCCAATTTCCACCAAGTTTGATAATAAATTATATTACAAAGTTAAAAGTATTCAATGAAACCTGACATTGAAACAATCATTTGACAAGTCTTCATATTCTAGTTTTTGAAATATTGGAAGATGGGTCAATTATGATGATGATTCAACCAATTATTTATAAATGAACCTAATGAAATTTTCTGACAAAATCATACTTGTTCTACAGTTTCAAAAATGACCGCCTGGCTGGTATTTGTTTTCCACAGGTCCACTTTGAAATAAGAAACCATATATATTTTTTTTTTACCGTTCTTTATTTAAAACCAATATTGTGTATGTATGCTTTTTTACATGCTTTTTTTCTACTATTTGTTGCGAGAATATTGCAAACAGCCTAAAAGATTGAACCAATATTCAATATGAATAATGATATTTCAATTGACAATGAGGGTCGGTTGAAAACAAAACTCTACGACAAAAGAGATGATTTCAGCTTCCCAATTGTGAACTTTCCATTTCTATGTAGCAACATTCCAGCAGCGCCTACATACGGAGTATATAGCTCCCAGTTGATACGATATTCCAGGGCTTGTATTTCCTATCATGACTTCCTTGATAGAGGGTTGCTGCTCACAAGGAAGCTATTAAACAAAGAATTCCAAGTGGTGAAGTTGAAATCATCCCTACGTAAATGTTATGGACGCCATTACGAGTTGGTTGACTGTTATGGAATATCCGTTCCAAATGTCGTAACTACAATCCCGTCCCCTTTCCCCGAATGTGACCTACGTAATTAGACTTATTACCGGGTTTGTACTAACATGAGCAACACGACGGGTGCCACATGTTGAGCAGGATCTGCTTATCCTTTTGGACCACCTGAGATCACCCCCAGTTTTTGGTGGGGTTCGTGTTGCTCAGTCTTTAGTTTTCTATGTTGTGTTTTGTGTACTATTGTTTGTCTGTTGGCCTTTTTCTTTTTTAGCCATGGCGTTGTCAGTTTATTTTCGACTTATGAGTTTGAATGTCCCTTTTGTATCTTTCGCCTCTCTTTTTTTAAATGTTTGTTACTCTGGTGTCGTTGCCAGTAAAAATATTAACATCGATGAGGTTTGAAGTAATTTAACCTTTCGGCACTTGACTGAAAACCGATTCTTTTTAGAAATCGATATTCATCTTGGATGAGTCAAAATGAATGATGCAAAGGTTGAAAAGTTTAGTACTATTTTGTAATTATTATCTGCATGTATTACAGACTTTTTGGTTTTTGTTGGGGTGCTATCTCATAGTAGACTAAAAAATAGTGAAAATCAAAGATAATTCGGACAAGTTTATAAAAACATTGCTGAGTTACACTATATTTCCAGCATGTGTTTCAAGATTTAGATTTTATGGGGGCGAAAGATCTTTTTTAGGAAAAAATAAAAAAAGAAAATTTGCTTGCTGTCTAAATTTCACAACATTCATCTTTTAGGTTTAACCCACCATTTTCTTCTGATATTGCCTGTACAAAGTCAGGAATATGACAGTTGTTTTCCATTTGTTCCATTGATTGATACGTCTAAGTCTTACGTTTGATTGTCTGTTTTTAGGGGCTGCCCCTTTTTGAATTTACCTTAGGGCTCGTTTTTGGTATACCTTTTAATTGAGTCAGAAATTAATTCGACCGTTTTACGTGTTTTTGAGCCACTTTAATTTCATTTTGGAAATCCAGATTGGGAAAAAACCAAAAATAAAACACTAAAAACATTGACATCGCTAAAATAAGCATTTTGTTTATACAAATTAAATTTACGACCAACTTAATAGGCATTGTCTTT